CAGTGGTCACTATATAGTTCATGGACGCAGCTGAAGAGGACGACAAGGAAGAGTCAAAGATAGCAGCACCTTTGGATCAACTACTGAACAAGTGTTTACTCTGGATGAAGTCAGGAGAACGTTAACTACCTGTACATCTTGCTACTCCAAAAGTTGTGCATGCAGACAGACAGTAGAAAAATTAAATGGTACTAAAAAGCAGGTTGCTGTAACAGAGTTCTTTGGTGTATTGTAGCTGATTACTGTGACTGCTTATGTATTCAGTGCGCTTTGTGTAAGCTAGTATTTGCTCGCAACCTGATTTGTTTGTGCTTATCTACTTTTCAATAAATATGCACTCTTTTTCTAAATAAAGAAAGTGATAGCACTTTTGTTTTCCCCACTGCTTATTCAATGGCCTCTCCATTATCCAAACTCCCAATTATCTCAATACAATCCATGTCCCACATCCTACTTGGATGAACAGGAGTATACTGTATGTAATCTAATACACATATCAACAGTGTTCACTGTGGGGAAGGTTAAATAAAAGTGAAGTGATATTTATTAGTCTTGTATTTTATTGTAGCTGTTTCTTGAAGCATGAAAATGGCAGAGAGAGGAGGACGACTGCTTGAAGGCATGGCAGGGAAACTTGACTTGGGAAGTGTCAGGGTGGATATAACTAAAAGTAATGAACAGTTCATTTTTGTTCAGTTTATCCTGGAGTTATAATGTCACAATGCCTTCAGTCACTAGCTACACCATACTATGTTGATGTTATATATTATGTTCTGTATGTACAGCTTTGCTCTAAGATAAATGACTTTAAAAATTAATAGCCCATGAAGGATAGTTTTGCTTTTAAGGAATATAAAGAAGCTAGAACTGTCTCTAGAGTATAGCTATCTGCAATTTTCCTTTGAGCTTTCTGTTGTATCATTTTTTGAAAATTGAGTGACATGAGCAAAAGTATAAAGGAGAAATGCCAACATCTCTGTTGCAGAACATCTTTCTATTGTAAGTTATTTGTAAGTCTCTATTTCTCTAAACATTTCCAATAATGTATTGCTCAAAAAAGTCAAGACAACCTTTCTTCTCTCACTTAGAGCAGATTTCAAGAAAGGAAGAAGTCTATTTTGCAAATGTCTTTGCCAAAACTTGCTGTAGTCAGCAGGAGTCGTATTTGCAGTTTATTCTGCAAAGGTAATAATCCTTCTGCTAATAATCCAAATCTACAACTCACCTTGGTAGCAATGCAGAGGGAACCTACATATTAAAAAAAAATGATGTTTTTCAAATGCATTAGCTACAAATATGCTTTAAAACACCACATAACTGGGGCCACAGATTTGTGGTTTTGTAAACATGTTTTATTGTGACTTTTGCATCAAAAAGACAACTCTTCATTTATGTTAGAGTTCACCCTCCTTTGCAGTTATTACAGAGAAATTATGCAATATAGATCTTCTTTCAAGCTGATACTATTTTTATAAGCCCTCACTACCAAGGTACTACCACCTGCTGTGGTGGGTAGACTTTTCTGGGGCAGCTAGCACTACCAACTGCAAACTTGTGCAGGGAGTGATGGATCTATCAGGGGTCAATTTATCGCATCTAGTGTAGACGCGATAAAATCGATCCCCGATTGCGCTCCCCGTTGACTCCGGAACTCCAGCTCACGAGAGGCAGAAGAGGAGTCGACGGGGGAGCGGCAGCGGTCGACTCGCCGCCGTCCTCACGGCCAGGTAAGTCGACCA